TAAATAAGTGGGACCTCTCTTGGTTTGCCTGCGTCATCTTTAGATGGGAGCCATGTTAATCGTCCCTCTATTTTGTTGTGATTTTAAGCAGATGTCCCAAAAGACAGGGTCTTGGCCTCAACTGTACGCACTAGGGTGCTGGTCCTCGCCACTTGTGTGGCATGAAGTGGGGCATTTCAAATGGATAAGTGAGGCCACTCGTAAGGAGGTGGATGTCCAACCTGAGGGTTGACTGTTCGCTCCAAGCAGCACCTCTTCAATCTCACCCCTGCAGCTGCCGAAAATGCACAAGCAAACGCAAGCAAATCAATAAAACAAAACAAAATAAAATCATAAGAGTATTGCCACATGTCCTGACCTGCTCGTGCACCAAACAAGGGACATCTGCAATTGCCAGAAAAAGGGCATCATGAAACAGGTCATGGGAACGAGTATAGAGGGACATCCCGTACTCGTCAACTTGGCACATGTCATCCTCAGGGGCATCCCGCTGTCAATTTTGTTTTTTGACATCAACCTCTTTCTTCATGGTCTCCTAGTCGGTTGTCGCCGAGCCCTGTTCGCTCCTTCCTCTGCCTCACACGTAAGCTGTAGCTAGACCTAGGACAGATCGCAGTTCAATCAAGTGGCCGTCTTCTAGTTGGTTTCCTAGTTGGTTTCAGGGTATCAGCCAGTCTCGACTTGCGACCGTCTTCTTATCCTCCGGCTGCAGTCTGTCTCCGTCGATCACCGAGGTACAACACCTGCACCTGTTGTTGTGCCCACGCACGCTTACTGAGGTTGATCTTCTGAAAAAACACTTTCTTCAAATCCTCTAAATGCTCCTGTAATGACTCGCTAAAGGCTAGAATGTCATCTAAGTATACGACTGCGGATTTGCCAACCCATTCTTTGAACATGTTTTTTTATGAAGCGCGAGAATGTGACGAGTCCAAAGGGCCTTCCGACTCCTAGTGTCCGTACATGTAGCAGGGGTATTTCCAAAGGGCCTTACGACTCCTAGTGTCAGTACATGTAGCAGGGGTATTTGATGAGTCCAAAGGGCCTTCCGACTCCTAGTGTCCATAAATTTAGCAGGGGTATTTGATGAGTCCAAAGGGCCTTACGACCCCTAGTGTCCATAAATGTAGCAGGGGTATTTGATGAGTCCGAAGGGCCTTACGACCCCTAGTGTCCATAAAAATGTAGCAGGGGTATTTGATGAGTCCAAAGGACCTTACGACTCCTAGTGTCCATACGTAGTCCTACAGGCATTCTTATGACGATCCTCCTTGGCTTCCTCGATCTGGCATTCTTATGACGGTCCTCCTTGGCTTCCTCGATCTGGCAATACCCAGACTTCAAATCGATCTCAGAGAAATAGCTTGCATCCCTGCAGTGTGTCCATCAGATCGTCCATCATGGGCAACGGTTCAGCATTCTTCATTTTTGTGATAGCATTTAGGCCCCCATAGTCTGTAGACTCTATACACAGTCTTAGTTTGCCCTCTTTCTTAGGCACGAACATAACTTGCGTATCACACGGGGACGGGCTTGCCTTACTCCACCCCTTCGCTACTACCTCATCACGCTGCTCGTGCAGCTATTCCAACTCGGCGTTCTTCATTGTGATAGCATTTAGGCCCCCATCGTCTATACACGGTCTTGGTTTGCCTCTTTCGTAGGCACGAACATAACTGGCGTATCGTATGGGGACGAGCTTCACTTACGCCACCCCTTCTCTACTAACTCATCAAGCAGCTCGCGCAGCTCTTCCAACTCAACAGGAGACATCCTATAGGTAGGGCCCTTGTGTGTTTTTACCACTTGGCGTGATCTCTACCTATGCTTAATTTCTCATTCTCTCACGCATGTAGGAACGTCCTCTAACTCAGCTTACAGTTCCAAGAGAGCTCTGATTGGGGGTTGTAACCTCTCTTTGTTAGTTTGTTCATTTTTCTCTCCCTTCTTTCCTTCTGCCGGTACGGGCCTCACTAAGGCCACAAACCCTTGGTCTGTTATGATCCTGGCCAATTTTGAAGTACACATTCAAGAGAAAGTACAAAGCCGTCCAAGTGCAGAAAGAAATGAGTGAACTTGAGAGGAGAGAGGGAAGAAGAAGAAGAAAGAAAGAAGAAGAAGAAGACTAATAAGAAGAAGATGTACATCAGCAAAGACCAATGAGAATGCCCTTCTTCTTCGCCAACCACTCTCCTCCTCCTTTTCTTCTCCCCTCTTATTCAAACGATAAATAATAAGATTA